TTCTAAAAAAACCTGCTTCCAAGTCTCTTTATCGCAACTTTGCAAAAGTCGAGTATTTATGACGCGTGGCGAGGAACGATCATATTTCAATAAATATCGGATGTTGCTGTTCATTACGGAACACCAAAATTATAATTGTCAAAAAATTTCGCAATTCTCCTTCTTTGATAATAATAATAATAATAATAAAATTATTTTTTAAATTCTCTTTTAGATGCGAGCAAACTTCAAGTCACATTTTCTCAAAATTCGACGTATCAGTCGGTCGAGACGATCTAGGACGACGATTTGTCGACGCGAGATGTTGCGAATTTATCGCTGGCTACCGAAGAAGAGACAATGATCGATGAACTAACCCTTCGCACGCGCGATAACGACGAGCATTATATTCAAACGAGTTCTTCGCTGTTATAATCTGAGAACGGTCGATCCGAGGAAAGAACAAAGGGAGAGAAACTGTGGGAACTCCTGAGAAGGTCTGTCCGGGAAACGCATTGCCTCTTAATTGGTATCCGTCCCATAAGTACTCGTCAAAGAATCGATTGCGGATGTGCCAATCGAATCCTGACACATTAAATGATCACTGTCATCAATAACCGGCGCTACGATACTGATTAACATAACGTGACATATAAAGTGACGAGAAGAAATTACACGGATAGTAAGTGGAAGAGAAACGAATCGATCTCTTCCGCGTGATAAAATATTATCTAAAATGTCATTCGTGTATTTTATCCGAAGAGAACCAATTAACGTGAAGTATTTGTATAAACTTATACAAACCTGCGGATATACACAATTTGAAGTCATTGTTTTTTATAGATAAAATTTAAATTATTAATCATGCAAAAAATTCGCGAAAAAGAAACAAAATTGAAGAGGATAATGTTTACACGTTACTATAAAATTAAATTAAATTTCCCCAGTATTCATGAAACTTTAGCAAACAATATCGATGTGTTAAATTCATCATAATAACAAGTGCGCGACACGGATGATTTCCTTACACGTGATCCGCGATGAAGATACATGAATGTATACCCAGAGGCAACGTGTACGAGGCCAGATATAGCGATTAGAGAGACGTAATCTCGGTGGCGATAAGTGCACGTATAAATATACACGTATCATCTGCTGCTTCTCGATAGCACGTGCCACACAACTGTCTGCAGCATGCACCTAGTTGATTCAATGTAACGCATCGTAAGGCGACGCCGCCCTCGGGCGAAATTCACACGATGAGGCACGGATGAGGCAAGAAACGACGGAGCAAGTGACAGGGGATTCGTTTGCATGAATGTATACTCGATGTAGCGACCGGATTTGCTACCGGCGAATCGCCTCGTATCTCGTAATCGGATCTTTGATTTCCAGATACGCTATAGATCGCACGACATGACGATGCAAAATATTTCAATACAGAAAAAAAAAAATAATCGAAAATACAAAAGAATCAAATATATATAAATAAAAAAAGAATTTTTATACTCGTAACTTTTACTTTCAAACAACTGCGCTGGCAAAATGCAATATTTTTTAACTGTACATACAATTGATAGGTCTCATTTTTCGTTAAATAATTTTACGATATATCGATATGACATTGATAATGAATATTTTTGAACGCTTTTATGGCTCGTTGATTTTATTACTTCGCGCTGCATTGTTATAGGACGAAATATAAAAAAATTCAAAAACAAAATATATATTCTAATAATATATCCGAATTATAATGAAAATATTCTTTTTATATTTCCATATTTTCTTCTTTCAACTAGTTTAATAAAATACGATTTTTCATTAGCCATTATTTCATATTTTTTCAATTTTTAATATGTATATCTTTGTAATTAAACAGATAATAATCCTTAAGGTTCGCCAGTAATAATTAATAAAAATCTTTCCTCAATGGTAAAAGTCGACCAAACTGGCAATCATTTATTATAAATAATTAGTTAAAATACAACGTTTCGGCTGTCATTGCAGCCCTTTTCACAAGTAAATCTATAAAAAGTTACATAAAAATAATTATAATTTTAATACATTTCATCGCAACAAATAATTATAATTTTTTACCTATTTATTTATTTATTTGACTTTGTTATAAGATGTTAGATTGCGAAAGACACATTAGTTTTGACTCGATTTTCTTAACGCGTAGTGACTAAGATTCTTGCTAACTGTTAACGTCTATTTATTTCTTGCTTACTTCTGTCAATTCTACATTGTTCATAAAAACAATGGTGAATACTGTCGGTGGTATGCAGTGAATTTGATTTGCTGTATTAATTTATTATGCATTTACGTTTGGCATGTAACATATTTTTGTATATGAATTTATAATTATTTGTTGCGATAAAATGTATTAAAATTATAATTATTTTTATGTAACTTTTTATAGATTTACTTGAAAAGAGCTGCAATGACAGCCGAAACGTTGTATTTTAACTAATTATTTATAATAAATGATTGCCAGTTTGGTCGACTTTTACCATTGAGGAAAGATTTTTGTAATTAAACATTAAATGAAAACTCTATTAACATTATTTAAAATAAAAAAAATATTATGTTATCATTATCCCGGAAAGTTAGTTTAGCTTTTCTATTCTGTTAAAAACTCTCGATTTTTTAATCGCAATTTATCGCGGCATCTTTGTTTAAGAAAAATCTATGGTGAAAAGAACTCGAAAGCATCCTAATACAACATATAAGAGAAACGAATCTTTTCGTCTGACAGCGAATAAATAGAAGGAAACGCCTCTCCGCTGAGCGGGACACGGACAATCGCAAAATTCCATACTATACCGTTTAATAATAGAGCTCGGGTTTCGCGACGAAAAATGCCGAACTGATTTATAAGATTTTCAGTTTACAAGCGACGCTTCCATTTCCGCGCCGAGACCGGGCCGACCGAATCGCGCGGTGCACGTGGAAAGGTTTTCGTTTGCCTCTCGCGCTGCCGTTCAATTTCCGCGCGACGTTTCAATTTCTGTCGGCCGACGCGCGCCCTTTCGTCGTATTCAATTCCGCGATCGCCTCCCTCGCTTTCCACCCACATCCCCCATTCCACCCTCCATCATCGTGATACATATCGCCGATGCCAGATTCCACTATTTTCGACCGAGTGATGGATTAACTCTTCCCATCCAAAACTATATGTATATCGCGCGCCGTCTACGATTGCTGTACAGGATTTCCGTCAGGAGCTTACATTAGACTTCCGGTGAGAGAAACGGAGCGATGGAGAGAAATGATTTGCAGCGAAAACCATATTTCTCTTTCTCTCCCTCGCTTGGAGAAACGTTTACATAAATGGACTTTACGTAAGCGTTTCACCTTTTGAGATACCGGAGTTCCCGAGGGAACACCGGATTTCCAGGGAATCCGGAGAAGCGAAGTGAACTGGACAGAATACTTCGCGATAAAGATAAGTCGAAAAATTGCAGCGCACAAACTATCCATATACATGTATTCACTTATGCTAAACATAAGAATGTATATATTCTTCGATCTCCTTTCAAGTATATATAAACATTATAATTTAATATATATATTCATATGTATACATAATATATTATATATTTAATATAATAATATAACATACATAAATAATAAATTAATATAATTATATAATATGTTAACATAAATATATAAATATAATATATAAATGTATTAATAAATTAAACTAATATACCTATATAATAATATTATATAAATTAATATAATAATCGGAATTTGGTTTCGTCAGAGCGCGATTATACTTTTATACGTGCTTGACACGCAGAATCGTCGAGATAGAGGTGAAACCGCGTGTGTGAATCGCGGTTTCCGGTATTATTTCCAACGACCCCGAAGGAGGATGCATCGCACGGACACACGCATAGGTATATATGCACCAGACAACGGTGCGGTTGCACGCACGACCCGCTGCGAAAAAGCGAGGAAAAAGGGCACGGCGCAGGAAGAAGAGAGAAGGAAGTAGAGAAGAGAAGAGGAGAGGAGAGAAGAGACGAGCTTTAAAGCGCCGTTACATCGTAACTCGTCGCCAACGACGATGATCGCGCGATGGTGATAACACGACGCTCGACTTGACAAAGGCCTCCCTTTCTCTATTTTGCCACTATATAGCACCGTGGTTCGCTTCTCTCCTCGTTTACGACGCCGTCCGCGTGTAATATATGCAAGGTCTTGAACGAACGATATTTCCCCCACGATTTCTCGAACTTGCATTTATAAGTAATTATACAATTGCGTATATATCTAGAACGATCGGTCGTTCTCGATTTAATTAGCATTCAAAATAAATACCGCTTCTAGCGTTTTACGCGTAATTGTATCTTTGTTCTTTTTCTGTCAGTAAGATTGCTTCAGATGACCCGTGTAGGCACAGATAAGGTCCGTCGCGGATACTCTCGTAGTAGTAGTAGTAGTAGAGTTCGCGCGTACAACTGTAGATAGGCAATTACGCGCACCAACAATGATAACGCCCGACTATAACCATGCGGGTAACTATGTCGCGTGATCGTATATATGGCACACACACATATATATATATATATATATATATATACAACGGCAATAGAGTATATCGCACTCGCTCGTACGTTTATATGTCATACCAAGACGATCGAGAGAGAAAGAGAGAAAAAGAGAGCCCTCCGGCAGACAAGAATGGCACAGAGGCTCCAACGAAGGTTCTCCGAAGCCTGATTTATACGATCGCGATCGTAATTGTAACTGTAGAAACGGCTGTCGCTGTACGAAAAAAAAGAGAAAGAAATACGTATAGCGGAGGCCTGATTATTAATCGTCGTCCGACGCTTCGGACGATCGGAATCCACGAGGCGATCGATTACGAGCGCGCAGCATCTCGGCGAGTGCGATTAATCGCCGACGCGCAAACGCGAAATAAAACGCTGTGGAATAAAATTCCCGGACGACTCGAAAGAAAGATGTGCGAAATTCCGTGGATTGAATAAATAGCTCGCTACAAAACTTACTTGTTCATCGCAGTGCCATGTGTTGAAGGATCCTTATGCAGGCTGTACCATACACACGCGAGGCCCACAGTGATGAATTTAAAATCTGGAAATAAAAAAAAGTTTTATTTTTTTTTGTTTTTTTTTTTTACAGACACCTCCGAATACATGAAAAAGTTTTAATTGAAATCAAGGCTTCCGGTACACTAGAATTCCGTGAAATTCGAAATCCACGGTTTTACTTCGCGGCAAATCAGACGTGTTTAGTGCTACGTGATATGTGTACACGCGCACGCAATTTCGATCGTATAGTTGAAGCGCACGGACGGAGCGTCGAGGCGCATGCAAACATTAAAATAATTGCCGCAACTGTTGAACTTGGTTGATGGATTAAGCGGCAATTTGTAATGCCAGGTGATCCATCAAAACTTCGCGAAAGGTTAATCCCGGTTTAAAGACACGCGAACGATCTCACATGAGTCGTATAGCCGAATAACGATAAATAATCGTTCACGCCAATAATTGCATATTAAATTCGCTAGACGTCTCTTATATACTTTAATATACTAAAGTTGCAATTAATCTCGTCGTTATTACGAGCGCGATTATTGACGGATGTTGTTGATTTTATTAAAAATCATTTTCCATTTATTGATGAGTAATGTTATTCGTTAATTATTCGATACAATTTTAAATATAGAACTTGGAGCTTTTATTCGATCATACAGGCCATCGGAATCCTCGTTCCTCGAATCGAGAGTAAAAGAGATCGCGAATAAGCAACGGCTGTTCCGGTAAGCAACAATGGCACCGTAATCAACACTGGAATATTCATAAAGCGAGGACGCGTCGGCGAGCGAAAAAAAAATTCGACGCAAAGAGTTGACTGCATTTCGCGAGCGAGAACGTGCGCCGAATCTATTTAGCGGCAACAATTCACGAGTGCATTTCATTTTTATACACTTCCTCGTCTTGATATTGAGCAGTTCATTGCGTCGGCGAATATGTGACAGAGGATGAACGAACCTTTTAACGTGTTAACGATACGTCTGTCAAACTAACTGTAAAACAGGAAGAGAAAAAAAGCGAAGAATTATTACGATCTTTTTTTCTCCACGAAAAGAAGATTTAAGAAATTAAACCGTAATTTTAACACAAGATCGCTTTTTCATGGAAATGTGTAACGGTAAGTCATGTAATTGTACTCGTTTCATGCGCGCGAAGGGAGGGAGGTCTTACGCTCATGCATCGGCTGCGTTTAACAGCATCCGGAAAGGAGCGAATCGTTCGTTTTTTCATTCGTTCGTTCCCCGTCTTCGCGTTCCCGACGAATTCATTATAATCAAGACAGTCTCGCTGCGCGTACGGTCCGTATATAATCGGCTCATTATCCTCAAGGTAGTCTATCTCAGACTATCTTCATTATAATGAATCGTAATGCGCAGCCCGAACAAAGGACCAGTCGCAGTCTGAGATTGCTTCTTGCTGTCGCGATAGATGTTTGTTGCGTCTGCAATAGGTAGAAGGCAACGTGTGCTTTCCAAAAGTAAATAGCTACTTCGTTCACACAACGTGGCACGCAATTGCGTGTGCCGCAAGTTAATCAATTATAGTCGCACAAATCATTGCAATATTACTGCAGAGTTAGAGACAAATGTGCAGATGTTTCAGATTTTGTCGGTATGCATTTTTCTAGCGTCTGAATGATATCAAGTATACAGTTATCTTTGCTAAAAATTGTATAAAAAATCTATTTTTAATTCACACTTCAGTGCTGTGAAAAGTAAGGCGTACAAATAAAAACTATATAGAATTTTCTCTTAAAATTTATCTTGAAAATAATGGTATTGAAAGAATGTTATATAAGAGTTTCTCTGATTAATATTTATCACGATAAAAATATTAATATATGCATATACATGTAAAATTAATCAAACATATTTTATATCTTATCGCAGTAATACAATATTGTCCCACGATTACCATGCTTTTCAGGGTAAAGTTTTAGAAGAAAATTCTCTCTACGTAGAAAAATGCACACCAATCTTTTTTGCAGAAAACAAGTGTATATAGGGTGTCATTATACTCATCTATTCCATATTGGGCAATTTTTTTTAATATGCTTTCCAATCCGCGACATCCGAAAGAGGGACGACGCAGGGCAGCCTTCTTTCGCGAGGCAAGGTCGCTGTCTTCGAGAGTCGGAAAATTGTGATGTACCCGCCTCTAATCCCTCGCGCCAGGCATCTCGATATGCCTCGGTACGTTCCAGTAGTTTATACGTACGTGTGCGAGTGTGTTCATGTCCGAGAGTGGAAACCGCACACAGATCACGCGAGGCAAACGAGCGAGAGTCGAGACTCCGCGGACTCTGAGAGAACCGGTTTCTCCGGGTTTCAGAACAAGTAATTTCGTTACGAGCTCTGGTCCCTCTCCCTCTCTCTCTCTCTCTTCGACTTCTTTTATTCGAATAGAGAAAAAGAGAGAGAGAGAAAGGAAAAGCTCGGCAGCGACGTCCTCGGGCGATCTTCGTGGCTAAATCATTCGACGAACGCCCGAACGATCGAACCGATGCTACCTGAGGACGATCCGCGATATCGCGTCGCCGATTTTCATCTCCGACTGATTAGTAAGTCGCGACGATGATGACGGAATTAAATTTTGAGATCGTTTCCGGGTCGCCGGATGGTCCGCGTTTTCGTCGCAAATTATTGATATTTAATGACAATTGCACGAGTTGAAGATTTTTGCATACATCAACAAAGAACAAAGATACAAAAAAAATCCTGATTTTTATTTTAATAAAATTGATATACGCATTTGTGTAAAAATAGGTGTGATAATGATACAGATACTCATTACGTAAATCATATAATCATTACTGTCTTTAACAGGAGAAAAAAGCTACATAATCGGCTTTGCATAATAAAAACGTATCGGAGAACATTTCAACATGCAGCATTCACGCTATGTTTACAGTGTTACGCAATTCCGGCAATTCCCGGATCGATCCATCAATCGCTCGCGAACCCGACTCGTGTAACGATCGTCATACGGTGCCCAATTTAACACAAATCTATTATTAAATTACCGATACGCGCAAAGCGTGGGTGTGTTGCTTTTCTATTAATTCGTAGCCAATTCTCTCAGCCGCGTAGGAGAATCTGCCCGCGAAGAGATGTTACCGCGAGATAGCACGCGAAGGAGAGAAAGCGAAAGCGAAAGCGTCACGAGCTGGCATTCACCTCGCGAGACGTTCGTCGAGCGTGTCATGTGCACGCGTGCGAAACAACAACGTCCGCGGGCGCTAAAGGATGGTTCCATCTTTTCGCTGCACAATGTCACGCGAAATCCATTTCAAAATTGTGTATTAATTTATACGTAATATTTTATGTGCATAATACAGACATAAAAGTGTCTAGATTACATCGACATATTTCCGATGAAGTTCGAGATGCACATTTTCAATTTCCATATTTTTTTATGTCGCGCCAAGCTAATCCCATAATTAAAATCAATTGTAATGAAGTGCGTTAAATTATTAAAAATAATCTTTAAAAAGTTTCGAGACAAAAAATGTATTTCCCGAATGAAAATCTGAATTCCCTGAGAAATGTCATTTTTCAGGATTGAATCATTTATCAGGATTGAAAAGTAAATTGCATTTTGAATTAAAAATGCGTTCACTGACCCACTCGTCTTAACTTTCTACCAACCCTTCTGATTACCAGGAAGTAATTACTCTTAATCGAATAATATGTCCGATTACTTTCTCTACAACAAGTAATAAGTTGTTAACTTTGAGAGGCTCATTTTCCGAATCTTTAAGCTTGACTGACAGTATATTTAATAATTTATTAACTCTGAGAAAAACTTAAATCTATCTCTCTCTTTCCGTTTCGTGAGAATGTATCACATGTGAATGTATACTTCTTTTGTTCATTCATGAATTTCTGAACTTTTCGGTGCAACTATAATACCAATATTATCATAATCGATTATCTGTATATCGATAACAGTTCAATGCCTTATGATAAAAGATAACGCGAACATCACGCGCGATATCTATATTTTACGCTGCGTTTTCAATAAAAGAGAGTGTTAATAAAATTTTGCATAAATATTACATAAATTTATATAAAGCGATATGTAAACGTAAAAATGTACAATCTGCGATATGACACGGTAAGATAAAAATAGTCTTTTATCGAGAAAAGTGAAAGCCGGCTAATTGTTAGTGACACAACTAACAATATATATTCGCGCGAGAAATCGAGACTGCAATAATGCCGTAACGAGCTCGAAATGTCTCGAATTATCTCGTTGAAAATTCAGAGCATTATTTTACCTAAATTTAGCAGGTGTTTGTGCGTCAGTCGCAGCGATAACTAATCTATCGCGCTATCGCGAAATCGCCGATAATACGATAGTACGAGCCCGCGTGAATTAGTACTCGCGTCGATACTTTACACCGTTTGCAGGAACCGATCATTCATTCACGAGAGGAAACGGCATGTTAACAACGCGCGCGCGCGCGAACAAACGGGCGGAGCGAAAGAGCCGCGTAAACGCGCCGTGCGATTAATTACGCCGATTAAACGGCGTAATTAAGAGCCGTGGCATTAATCGAATGAGGGGTTATATGGGTCAAAGGAAAACGGTAAATGCACCCCCTCCTTTCACTTCACCTCCAATGCGCCTTCGTGTCAAAGGCACGTCCGCGCATCTCGCTCTCGCGCCGAATCTAGGTAGAGAGCCGCAATTTGCTATCGATTAATAATCGCGCTTTGTTCGCGAAAACGGCGACATGTCCCGACATGCCGCTCTCTCGCCGCCGCACCGTGTAAACTCACAGCCAAACTTGCCCGAGAATTTATTTAAAGTTCCCTCGGCGTTCTCTACCGCGATCTACATACGATCCATGAATATCTGCGCCTCGGCGCTGGTAAGAATTTCTAACGAGAACGGCGAGCTCTCCTCGCGATAACGCGCGACGGCATTCGCATTCACGATTGCTGTTCGCCGCCTGCTCGATTAAGGATAAACAGTCACGTAATCGCATTAATCGAGTTCCTCTCCGAGTATCCAAATATTTAAATATATATT